AGGTTTAAATTCAAATGCAATCATATTCCGATTTCCATTTGAAATTTTAATTGGAAATTGATTTGCTTGAATCATTTGACTATTCCAATATGTACCTATGGTGGTTATATTATAAATTTCTACTTCTTCTGGTACACCTTCATTTTCAATCTATTCAATGAATCACATGAACCAAAGAAAAAACGATCAGTTATCTTTGTATGTCAAACAGTAAGTAAACAAAATGTGCAAGATGGAAGCAGTTCAAAAGATTTACCTCGAGTGTTAAAACATAAAACCCTTCTTTGATCATACTAGGTCTAATGATGGGTTTCAAATTCAAAGAAGGTAAAACATTCAAACGTTGAACATATCGAAACCCAATAAACTCTTCTGATCCCTTTTAAAGACCTCAATCAAATTCAAAAACATAAGTCATCTTTCTCTCGTCCAAACTTGAAAAAAACCCAGACTGACAACGATCTTAAAGACAAATAACCATAAGGTCTTATGATGTCCTACCATTTCTCCTCGACAGATCAATGGTACTTTAATCGATTCTGATGGTTTCAATTGATCACATATTGGCATTGGTGGATCCTCACTTATTGAGTTCGGTAACCGAATTGCGTTACATAAATTTAAATCATCCTTTGGAGATGTCGAATATACAAAATTTTCTATCAACAGACCAAGGACTGGCTGGATCAGCAGATGAAAGCACATCAGAGAAAGAGATGGTTTCAGACGTAAGCTAACTGACCTTGTTCAGTAGTTGGATCACCAATCCTGAAAAAAGTATCATGACTAATTAAACAAGCAAGCCGAAGTACGTTTCCTAATCCAACATTCTTGATTTCAAATTCACTAACAATAGTCTCACCAGCCAAAAGCTCAATAGGTATTAAATCATCACTTAAAACTTTGATCCTACCGAAGTCTTCTTTAATTTCAAGTTTCATAGATTTATCTGGCTCATAAAGTTCATTCATCCTTTGGATTAATGTTTCATTCAATCTTTTCCCTTTCTTTGCTAAAGGTTGTGTAAGATTCATTATATTATGAAATCGATATTTTATTGAGTCGATTTGAATTCCTATTGAAGATTGTGTACAGGTGATTTTGATTGGGACCTGTGATGAAAATGTATAGTCAATCTGATGATCATGTAACGCAATCATCAATCGCTTGATTTGCTTACTATTCGATTCTCATTTGCTAGAAGCTTAAGATCCGGGATCGGATCTATCACGACTCCTTCAGGTAGCTCGTCTTTTTCATCTGTTGTGGTAAGTTCTTCATCTAACAAGCTATTCACTCGAATCTTGATATCTGCAATCTCTACCACCGTGTTCAAAGGGTTCA